TTTCATTTTATTCTATTCTATTATAAATCAATTTGATAAGAGATATTATTATATAATTATATAATAATATGATTTTATAATATAAGATTATATTATATATGTATTAGTTATTAATATATCCCTTATTTGATAAGATATTAGTAAGTGATTTAGTGGACTTATTATGAATCCTTATAGTAATATTTTCACCGGTGGATCTTCGGGTTTAAGATTGACAGCAGCACCAAGTCCATTTTCCCCGTAATAAATTTAGTGATCGCTCAATAGATTGCGTGGACTTTTGATGACTCGGTGCCGAGATATTATCGCAATTGAAACTCTTCCACTTGTACGATATACACCGTTGAAATACTATATAATGTAAATGTATACAGTAAATTCAAGATACCCCGAAAATTGGGCGCACACTGATTGTCGTGATAGGACAATTTGCGCCACGATATATACACATTGTTCTATACATCCAATCACCCACACACGTGTGCTCTATTCTCTTCAAATTCCATATCAGTAATTGTGAATTGCTTTTTTCATATCACCATAATTCAAATTTCCAGTCTTGGCCAGTCTTGGGAACAATTCAGTAAGACGATTTTTCATTCTCGGAATACATCATCCCCTAGACTGCCGGCTTAGGACACCTTAATTGGTCCGTGCACGAGCTCAACCATCAATAATTCAATAAATGATATTATAATAAAAAGCCTTTATATTAAATTTGAAATTTGAAATTTATTAAGAAAATAATAATAAATATATCAAATATATATCTATGTTTTTTTTATTAAAAAATAATTATGAAATGATTTTAAAAAATATTATTATAAACAGTTGATAATTATTATAAAAACCTTAGATTTCGATAATGAGAATTCTCAAATTTCTGATGTTCTGATTGGTCAATAGAGCGAGGTGTCCTCTGTTGGCAGTCTAGGGGATAATTATACCTCCACTTTCTACGAAACGCTTATGGCGTAATTCTGGTCAATGCTAGCTAGCTATTCCAACGAGATCATATCAAACACCTTTGATGATATCTGCAGCCTTTTCAGCCACAGCATACACCGAGGATTGGATGTTCCCACGTGGAATCAGTGGGAAAATACTTGCATCAACCACGCGTAAATTACTCGTACCGTGAACCATCAGCTTATCATTTACCACACCCCCTTTTTCTTTTGGTAGCATTGCAGCGGTACCACAAGTGTGATAAGCAGTCACGGCAGTGTCAAGGACGTACTTCTTGGCTCCCTCAAGAGTATGGATATGGAAGGAGTCTGGGTGGTTTCGCTTCCCGTCAGGTTTGAAGAAGGGTGAGAGTTCTTGCGTTTGACGAAGTGTCTCGAGGGTCTGTATATGACGCGCGAAGATCTCGAGATCAGCAGGATGCGAAAGGAATCGTGGATCAATTTCAGGTAGATCATCAACATTTGATGAGGAGATGTGAGTAGATCCTCGAGAGAACGGGTGACTTTGGCAACAGCCAAGACTAGCAAAATTTTCTGGTTGTAGATCTGACCCTACAAAACTCTTTCCCCCCTCATGTAGATTCGTTTGAGCGAGAAATATTAACCAAGCCGCCGAACATTCTCCTGGACTTTCGATGATCGAACGTACAGCTTCAAAATGTTCCACATCTTGAGGCTTTGGAGGATACTTTTGCAGTATACTCGTTAGTAGTTCCGCCTGTTTTTGGCGACCTTCCTCGTCGGAAAATTCCAGAATGGGCATGAATGCGTGAGATTGTACTCCACCAATAGTAAAGGGACCTGCTTTATTCTCGGTGTACAATTTCTGAGCAAGTTCCAACGCCTGGGGCTCTTGGCGCAACAGAGGATCGCCAGTTGGCACTCCATCAACGACTTCGAAGCTGACTCCCGTCATTAAATGATCCTGCATATTTTCTCCTACGCCAGAATTACTGATGACGACCGGAATGTTGTGCTTCTTGAGCAAACTTTCATTTCCTATGCCTGATAATTCAAGCAGTTTGGGTGTGTTGAAGACTCCAGCGGCGAGAATAACTTCCTTGGTGGCGGTAAATTGCTTAATCTCACCGTTCACAGATGCCAGTACACCAGTTGCAACAACGCCGCTGCTCGTTTCCTCGAACAAAATCTTATGAGCTGTAGCGTCAGTAATCAGGTGGAAGTTCGGTCTCTGAAGAGCCGGTATACCATACGCAGAGCCTGCGTAGCTTCGAGTCTTGGTAACAATATCGACCGTAGCTGCATTGCTATATGCCCCAGTCGAGTTTCCAGAGAAAGGATCTATTTAGTGTAAGTTCATGGTATTCTTGATATGGAACAAGCTCCGCTTGCAGGCAGCGACCACGTACCTCCAGTAGTTAACTTTCCAAAGCCACGAAAGCTATCGATCCAGGCCTTGCAAAGCGGATTCTGGATAACTCCAGGAAATGATACTTGAATGGGTCCAGATTTTCCACGGTAATCTTCATTTATCCAGTCAATACCTAGATGCTCGAGAGTCTCGCTGTCGGGTGGTGGTGAAAGAGTATAGAATTTCTTGTAGTATGGAGATAGAGCGGCCCAGTCCCAACCATCGTTTCCTAATTTAGCCCATGAATCGATCTCAGCTTGTGCAGGGGCGATGAAGGATTGGCAATTGATAGCGGATGAGCCTCCAAGAAGCTTCCCCTGCGGCTCGCTGATCGTTCGACCGCCTAGACCTGGCTATTCTACATCAGCTGCTTTCGATATCTCGAAGCCATGGGCTCTCGGCTACTTACTTGGGGAACAGAACGGAACTGCCAATCGGCTTCGGAGCCCAGTAGGGTTGTCCAGAAAGCAGGAACCTGAACTCGAGGGTCATCGTTACGGTTTACACCCGCTTCAAGAACAAGAACATGCACATCGGGATTCTCGGTCAACCGATTGGCAACGACCAAGCCGGATGTGCCACCTCCGACGATAATGTAATGAGCTTGAGTGATGGAATCTTGGGGAGAGCTCATTGTGTGTAAAGATAGTTCGATCAACAGGGAGTGGACTATGTTGGATTTGTGAGAGGTGTAGAAATTTTCGCCGTAGATGAACAAGATAGCTACTATCTATGTAGAGAGTATCAGGTTTGAATCCGAATTCAGAAGCGTTTCTTGCACTTGCACTATATATACTGTAAACTTCAACGCACTCTAGTAGCATGAAGCACGAAACATTCTTCCCGGCGCAGGGAAATGGGGAATCCACACATCGCAATTTTAGGACAGGGAATCATATTCCAGTCTGACTGCATATCTAACGCATTTGTGTGTTATATTTTGTTGGATTGATTTGATATCTGTCGCTACCCCTTCAGCCGTACAACCGAAAGCACAACGTGAGATTCGGGCATGTAGCTTCTTTGGGTTTTGATGATATATCCATTGTCTTGAAAGTTACCAAAATTTACTCTGCGTTCTGAAATACTCTATGTGTACCTCATTTTCACATAATGAAAATAAATGCACATGTGTCTTACTCAATGTGTTAACAAATATTTCAGAAATGAAAGACAGAGTATAATTATTATTTTAATAAAGACTGTAACTTATACTAATAAGATTTAAGAAATATAATCTAGAAAAGCTTTACAAATTCTTGTTTCATTTAGTAAAACGTTGCTTTATTATATTAAATCAGATACCCTACTTTCAGGCCACCCCCCTTTTGGGCCACTTTTTACACCAAAAATACACCAAAAATAGAATTTATAACTTTCTTATTTATAAATAAAATTCAATAAAAATTTGTATATATATAATTTAGATCGATTTAAGCTTATTCTGAAATTTTTAGATTTTTAGGATTTTTTTATATTAAAAACTAGAATTTCAAAATATTGATTTTTAAATTTGTATAAGAATTATATACAAAATAGAATTTTTTATAAAATCTTTAATAACTTTCTAATAAAAATTACTAAAAATAAACTATAAAATTTTACTATAAATTTATAGTATATTCAATATAAGAAATTCAGAAAAAATAAAAAATTTCTTATAAATAAATATTTATAAAAATACCCTTAAAATAACAAGAATTATTTATACTACTCTAAACTCACTATATACTATATCTCTATATCTATTAATTTTTTTAAATTTTTTTTTGAACTTTTATATAAATTCAAACTTAAATATTTCAAAAATATGTATAGTTTTCTTTTAATAATTATTATTAAAAAGTTATTAAAGATTTTATAAAAATTCTATTTTGTATATAATTTCCATACAAATTTGAAAATTGATATTTTGAAACTTTAACTCTCAATACAGAAAAATCCTGAAAATCTAAAAATTTCAGAATAGGCTTAAATCGATCTAAATTATATATATACAAATTTTCATCAAATTATATTGAATATTGATAAAAATATTAATAAACCTAAAAAGTGATTTTTGGTGTAAAAGGGTGGCCCAAAACCCTGTTGGCCCGAAAGTAGGGTACCCGACTTATACTACAAATATACTATTTATCAGTCCATCTAAGGTTACACCCATGAAACACGCCAACATATCACCAACAAACTCACACAATTAATCATTCCGTATACGTCCCGCAAATCAAACCTCATTCTCAGGTAATGTAAGTAATCAGAACTAAGTCAATCCGTAACTGTGACGAATTTCTACTCGCGATACGCATTCAGAATTACTCGTATACTCGACTTGTGGGGGGTCATGTTGGGTGATGTTGGTGCTCCGCCGCAATTACTTTCATGTGATGCTCCAACTAGGATCAATGTGCACATAGTCACCCAGATACACCTTCCGCTTCTGTGGATAATTTTTGCTTGGCATGGTGGTTTTGATGACTGACTGCACGGTTTTTGGATATAGAGAAGTATATAGGTGTATATTTTTCTTGGAATTGTTCTAGCATCTAGGTAGTACCTGCTGCTGGTGTTGTGGCCTGAGATTGGCTTATTTTATTTGTAATGTTGTGTATGGAATGTTTGAGTGATTTTCGCCAAATGTCGTTCATGAAAGGTTGGAGGGAATGAAATTTTACAGTTATCATCTTGTAAATTACATTTATTCACTGGAGAACGAAGATGAAGAGGAGAATCAGGATGATGACGACGAAGATGTGGATGAGGATGATCCTGGATTTGGTTTTGGAGATTTTGAAGAACTGACCAATCGTGTCAGAAATGCTCGCGGAGGTTGGGTCATGATCCAATGTTCATATCGTCTGTAATGGCGAATATCTTCATATGTGATATGGGTCGATGTCCAATCTCTATAATGAATCTCTTCCCAATTCTCGCGAGCCATTACATAATATTCAGATGTGCAACTGATATCTTGGTGATCTTCAATGTGTATTGAATCTCCAACTAGGAAGACTCCCGCGAGTCATCATCGGAATTGAGATTTAAAATTCACATTAAAGAGTACAGAAGTCTGGTCGTGCTTCTCTTCGCATGGTCTTGAAGGATATAGTATTCAAGAATCTCTATGATGACGAAGATAATTCTCAATAAACAAATATCGGTCTGATAGATCATGATGACATGCGTGCCTGTCTACACTTTAGTACAGTGTTTCGTGGCTGTGAGTATAATCGAGAGCTTACATATAAAGAAGTTCATATCAATAATCTCCCCGCCCAAAAGATACCATACGTATTACATGTTCAAATATCGAGGACCTTGGAACAACGATTCGATTTTGGAATTTCACCGTCATGTCAATCTACCCGCATTTCATGGCACTTTGGAAGCCATCGTCATCGCCGATTTTGGTGCAATGGGGAGTCAGTGAGGGCAAGGGGAAGTGAAAGTGGGAGACGAGATCAGGGAGACAGAGAGGGGACAAGGATTAAGTCCTTTCAGAAGCGATACATGCACCATGGCCATATTTTGGAACTACGAGAAGCATACATTCATTCACTGTTTTTTTCGATGATTGATTGCAAGTTCCAGCGAACAATGGCATTTCATGGTTACACACACGAACGAAAAGAACTTGAGCCAAGTGATCGAGACAGTATTGGTCAAAAGTTCCGTCATTTTTGCTTTCGAGACTGCGACATTCTCATTCCTTCTGAACATAATTTCAAGATGCAACCTAACAAAGAAATCTCCCAGCCAAACCATATCACCCAAACTTCCTAAGGTCCCAAGCCGTCTCACCAGGTGATGAAATCGTTCACACCAAATCTAAACTTTCTTCTCCTTTCGTGCCAATCCGCTGAGCAAAGAGCTCAATCCATCCGCGCTTGAAGAAGCGGTCGCACCAGTAAGCGTACCAGATCCACCCATCAGTGATGAGATCTCACTTTCCAAGGAAGCAAGTCCCGATGATGTACTTGTTCCACTACCCAAAGAACCCAATGATGAGATTCCACTCTCCAAAGAGCCAAGTCCTGAAGTTGTGTCCGTTCCGCTACTATCTCCAAGAAGAGAGCCGAGACCCGATAAGCCGGATGCGGATGCGAGGGGGCTGCTGGATGTACCCAAGCCGAGAAGAGTGTCGAGTTGACGCTTTTGAGTGTTGGTAGGCGCACCGGAGATGAGAGGGAGGGCTGCGATGATGAAGGAAAGATGGAAATGCATGTTGATATCTTGAGCTCTTGAGGATGGTCTATAGCGAGAAGATTTATCGTATATTGCGAGTTGAAATTTAGAGATTATATGTGAAGTGTGTAAACTGAACGTCAAAGTTGGATGTTTTGTTGAAGGAGCGAGTGACTTTGAGAGAATGTGAACAAAAAGTGAAAAACAGAAGCCGGATCATTGCGAAGCTATATACAACAGTCATATTAGAGGGGGTAGAAAAAGCAAGTACTTCCCCACGTTTCTGCTTCATCTAACAATAGAATAAAGGCAGACAAGGTCTGGCATTGTTCCACTGTACTTCTCACAAGCTTTATCTTCTATATCAACATCGGACAATTTTCCACATTTCAAAAGTAATGCTCGAGAGGGAGACTACCCAATTGCTGAATGTAATACCGAGGTATTTTCATCCCCGTTGTAGATATTTATGCGAGTGGAGACACATTTCTTTTTTTGTTCATTTACTTGAAACTTGCAAAGCTGATATTGAGAACGGAGAACAGGTGACAGATAGACCACTAGGGGGCGTGTGAATTCATGGGATACTTCCAGCTTTCGAAATTTTGGATAAATTCATTCTTCGGTTGTTTCATACCAGAATCCACAATTTGATTGTTCCATGTCTCATGAATAACTGTAACTATTCTTAAGATACAAGATCCGGTATATCATTAGATACTTACAAATCCATATTGCAGTATCATGTTAGTCCATATAATCAATGGTAGAAACTTCAACCTAGGATTTCATCCTGAGAACACATGTATGAAAGCTTCCATTGACGTCACATTGCCCGAGTGGTTCAATTACAGGTCAGGACATAACTCAGTTCTACTGTATAGTGAAACCTTGTCATCGATGCTCATGGAGCTATGTAAATGAAAACATGGTATGAAATAATTTGTTGCCTAATATAGAATTGAAACATAAATGAAAGTTCTGTTCATCTCTCCGTCGTTACGCATTCCCTGCCCCGCACTTTCCCATCTCAGCCTCAAATCTCTAAACAGCACCAGTCAATCCAGAAAGAAGACCTGCACCCGCAGCTCCAGTTCCTGTAGCTCCGGTGGCTCCGGTGGCCCCAGCACCAATTGTGTTTACACCGCCGGTCAAACCACTGACAAGTGTGTCCTACTCAGCTCATTAGTAACCATCATCTAGATGAAAAGGCAAAGAGAAGACTCACTATTCCTTGAGCTCCGCCAGCATCAGCGGTGGTAGCACCACCGGTAGATGTCGTGGCTCCTCCTGTGAGGCCGGATAAGAGGTCACCATCATCATCACCGGTAGCGGTCGTGGCTCCTCCTGTGAGGCCGGATAAGAGGTCACCACCACCGGTTGAGGTGCCTGTTGCTCCTCCTGTGAGACCGGATAAGAGGTCACCACCACCGGTAGCGGTTGTGGCTCCTCCTGTGAGTCCGGATAAGAGGTCACCATCACCGGTAGCGGTTGTGGCTCCTCCTGTGAGTCCGGATAAGAGGTCACCATCACCGGTAGCGGTCGTGGCTCCTCCTGTGACACCGGATAAGAGGCCACCACCACCAGTCGAAGTGCCTGTTGCTCCTCCTGTGAGTCCGGATAAGAGACCACCACCACCGGTTGAGGAGCCTGTTACTCCTCCAAGGAGACTATCGAGCTGTCGCTTAGTCTGCAGTCTTGTTAACATGTGGTCAATGATATGAAGGGGGATGCGCATACGGGTGCGGCGAGAGCCAATGGCAAGATAGCGATGGTGAGTGAGAGACGCATTTTCAATTTGAAATGAAGGTAGTTTGATTGATTATTTGAATTTAAAAGAATGTGATATGACGAATTTTGTTCGACAAATTTGGTTTGTGAAGATGGAAAATCGAAGAAGGTATCTTGGAATGATAGCTAGAGAAGATGATTAAAAAAAAGCAACAAACAGATTATATCTTCATCTACTTATAGAAGCCATCGTGCGAGGTTTTCATGACACCTTTGATTTCAGGAGTCTGATAATTTGCAAATACTCCCCTCGGACCTCTCAATGTTCGGTCAGACACTAAGTCGTCGATGTAAGTAGGTACACTATACTACTGAACACTGCCGTATCGATGCAATGAGGCATTTCAAGACGACGGAACTTTGCGTTGTTAGCACAAGCACGTTCCGAAGATCTGAAGATCTGATGGTCTGGGGACGCATGTGGGGAAATCAGATGAATGAGGCTTTTTTCGTTTGAAGGGTTGTGCTCGGACACGGGATGGACGATATGAAACGTAATGGGGATTCGGAGTTTTGATACAGCCTTAATACATATTTCTTTTTTTGGCTACCTATGCAGATATAGAGTGATGATCGATTGAAGATCAGACGATTCATGGAATTAATTTCTTGATTTGTTTTGGCACATAAAACTTCACCATGACATGACCACAACAACGAGATCCAAGCAATCAATCCTGAGTAATGAACAACATTATGAAAAAATCAAATATAGAAAAGCTTTATGCTCATCCAAACTCTAACCTGACACTTGATGTTTTGGCCTTGGCTTCTTTGGCGCATTGGACATCAAGGCTGTCATCTACCGGTATTGATTCGGTACTGAATTTGTACTGTAGTGTAGCACGCCAGAACACCATGAACTTGCGATTGTTCTTGAATGTTAAGATTGAATTTTGTATGCACTTAGGGTGGGCTAAGAGTATCAAAGAGTATCCCAGCAGTGTTCAAATCCTCTCTCTGAGGATTTTAGGTTCACATTGCTGGCATTTGGTATGATAATTGGAAACAATATAATCGGTAACCCTCCACGAACATGGACAACCCATTCAAACATCGAAGAATCATATTTTATTGCCTGATCCAAATATTGGACATTTTCAAAGATAGAGATTATGCATGGAATTATATTTTCAGACATAAGCCTTTGCCAGTAAATGGCTGTTGAGCTGTAGTCGTGCGGCTAGAAGTACCAATCCTCCCAAAAGCATCGTCATTCCGGAAAACAGCGATATTCCAAGGTAAACCCAAACATCGAGGATCTTCCCATTTATAGGTGATCCCACAAGCCCGCTGCTAGAGTTAGCCAAGTTTGAATCTACAGGATAGTGAGCGGAAACTTACGCGATTGAGAGAAACGTCATGACGGAGCCCATGGCAATTCCAAATTGCATTGGCGGTACCAGCTTTGCTGCACAAAATCCTTGAAGACTGATAATTGCCCCTGAAGTAAATCCATAAGTAAGAGAAAATATAGTGATTCCAGCTACAGAAGTAGCTTTTTTCATGCAAGTACAGACTAAGCCGGAGGAAATCGAAGCAATAACGGCAATGTTGTAACATCCAAATCGGTCCGCCAATAGACCCGGAATGATACGACCAAATAGGCTTGCTGCATTGACAATGCTAATTGTATAGAACGCAAAGTTACTATCAAATCCAAGAGACAACGCCCAAGGCTCAATGTAGAAGAAAGGCGTGAAGATGCCAAAGTAAACAAAAAAAAAAGTCCAACTGCGAGTAACACGAGGACAGGATTCTTGAGGCAAGAGAAATCTGGGTATGCCTTAGTTTGACTCGCCTTTTTAACAGGTGCTCTGACTGAAAGACAACCGATGATCAATAGAGGAAGTTCAATGAAATGAAAGCAACGATTCGAACTGCCCATTCAAAGCCAACTTCTGTCAAAAGTTTGTTCAGGCCAAATATTACCACCCAACGAAGATCCTGATACTACAATTCCAAGTGCCAGGCCTCGATATTTGGTGAAGTATTGAGCCGCTATGGTGAAGGCGGGAAGAAGAATAGATGCAATGCCGACACCGAGTAAAAAGCCTCGAGTAAGAAAAAACTGGTAGTACTCCTTGCAAAGAGAAGTCATGAACAGAGCAAGAAGCATCACAGCACTGCCTCCATATACCAAAAACTGCATTTTTCTCAGTCGAGGTTTCGATCATGGTGAACCTAACTTGCGTACCCATGAGCCATATTTGTTATTTAGATATTCAGCAACAAATGTTCTACCAAACATGCAAAAAACGTTAAAAGAACCAAACCATGACATATCCGATGCAAATTCATCGATGAGCATATTTTTCGCATAGTACCCTTGAAACCCTCCAAAAGCGGTTATGAAACCTACTGAACAGAACATTATTGAGAATACACCAATGACCGCCATACATGATCGAGTACTGGCATTTGGTCAATGAAAGATATATCAAGCAGGGAAAGAGGATACCTACCTCCATTCTGAATCCTGAGGAGTACCCTCCTCTAAAACCTCACTCGTCGGTTCACTGGATGATAATTTTGGGTCTAAGAACAGTGGTGATTTGAGCGACTCGTCATTGTCCCTTGTTGCATCGGTACTTAAACGTATCATTTGAGGCATGGTACAAGAGAAAGAATAAATGTGCAATCAACTCGCGAGTGGATGTCTTATACATGGATAGGTTATTGTGATGGTATGGAATTGATGCTATCTACTCACCTCGAGATCGAACTTACTCATAATTGAATGCTCCACGAAAGATGAAGCTCTAAAATTCATATATGATCAGGATATATCGGAGGACCATGGCTTAAGGAATTGAAGCAAAGCCACTCACTCAAGATACCTACATACCCAGTATGTAGGGTAGATTGTTAGAGTAGATTAAGTTTAATCATCTTGAGAATCTTCCTCCTGAGATGTATCTCACAATTGGGTCGGTGGGCGGGATTTTCTACTGAAGCCGATAAGAATAAGAAAAGTGGACCGGACAGCCCGAGAATCCGCGGAAATTGAGGTGGTGGTCCTCGCTATGGACAACTCCGAGCTAGTATTTTGATATCATCATCGTGTGCGACAGCTTCTTCCGTTTTCCCCTTACTTTCAATACCGCTGTCGATCAATCCATTCAACCATCGGAGTTATCTTTCTTGAAATTCTTAGTCCTTTTGCATTGAGTCGGCATGAAGCGATCCTCACCAACCCATCCATTTCAGGACGGGCGTAAGGAAAAAATAGCTCGTCGACAGGACCCTGTCTCATGTCAATTTTGTCGGACCAAGAAACTCAAGGCAAGAATGCGACTCTAATAACAGTAACGAATCGCATTCTGACCTTAACAGTGTGATCGCAACTTTCCATGCAGTAATTGCAGAGCTCGCAGACTCCACTGCGTATCAGCGGCAGGTCAAGCAGACGTCCCAAGTTCCCAGCCGATCAATTCTTTCTCGGTAGGATCATCAAGGTTAGTGCTGCTGTTTCAATGCGTCTTAGTAATCTTATCTGATTGTTACTACGATAGTCAAGGGATTGAGGAGTTGAACGCCCGCCTAAAAAGGGTAGAGGAACTTCTAGAAAAAAACATCAATGTATCGGGAAGTTCAAAAGATACCGCATCTGGTATTGTTTTCCTCTTACATATACTCTGGCATTAAATCCAGGCTGACAGATGATTAGTGGTCTCAACACAAGAAACGCCTGCAGAAGATGCTCAAATCACAAATACAGTCTCGTGGTTAGAATCTGATGCTTTCGAGCACCGGGGTCTCCATGAGTCAACAAACTGTGTATTTTCACTTTCCTAAAACTTACCTGCGAAACGCTAACCAGGCAGAATCTTCTCTGTTACGATGGTGAGATTGCACAAACTTTTGCTGCTTCCTTTCTAGGTACGTCGGCCACTACTGCGCGAACAGGTGTCGACGCACAGAGTTTACGTTCGCTTCCGTCCAGAAAGCATGCGCGAGTTCTTTTCGACTATTTTGTTGATAATATCGTTTGGATCTACCACATAATTCATATACCAACCCTCGAGTCTCATCTGAACAGATTATATGATGATCTTGACCAGAACCTACAGCCTCAAATCGATCATGTTGCTCTTCTCTCTGCAGTCTTTGCATTGAGTGTGTATTTTCAAGGCGCTGAGCCTCTATCAGAAACTCATCGTTGGACTTTGTTGGCTCAAAAAGCACTGTGTGCTGCTAATTTTATCGGAAAGCCCACTATGGAGTCGATACAAACAGTACTGTTGATAGCACAACATCTTCTGCCTAATATTGGAGGCATTGCTACTTTTCGAGTCCTGTTTACTACGGCAATGCATTCGGCACGTTCACTTGGATTCGATTATCTTGATTCTACCCAAAGCAAGAAGCGGAGAGTTGGGAAAGAATTGGATTATGTTGAACTCGAGACTAAACGAAGAATCTGGTGGCATATTGTTTCTACCGATTGGCAAGTTCACTTATACCATTTTGCATGCCGTATCTAACAAGCGTAGGATCATGTCTTTCATGAGTGGTCCGCAAAGCGGCACATATATGATTCACCCACAACAGATGAAATGTGATTATCCAAGCAATGTCAATGATGTCGACATTGGCTCTCTAGGAGACTATAAGCAACCCTCATGGATGGAAACTGATATGACATACTCTACATTCAGATGTCAGCTCTCGATAATTTGTCGGGAAATTGTCGACGCGATGCAAAATCTTGGCTGTGAGATACATGAGCTGCCCTACGAAACGGTGTTGAATTTTGACAGGAAGCTGATTTGCATGGTTTCTGAAATTCCTCCAGCTTTTCGCATCGATGCTAAAAGTCGAGCTCGATACAAAGATTTAGACGTAAAACACCCTTTCTTGGCAGTGCAAAGGACTGCGGGGCATTTTGGGATTCAGACCAGATTCACACGACTTCATCGACCTTATCTTGCGCGAGGTACCCATGACCCACGATTCTCTTACAGTCGAATGGTTTGCCTTCGATCTGCTCGCTCAGTAATTGAACTGGGAACAGAGCTTACTCACTGGGGCAAGAAGCAAAATTTCCAGCCAGTCAGGATGTGGACAGTTACGCATCACATTTTTGTGGCTACTGTCATATTAGTAATGGATTTCTGCTTGAACAAAGATGATCCACGGTCTGAGGAAAGAAAAGCTGAGATAATGGATGCGTTTAAAATGCTTGAGAGTTGTCAAGAAACCAGTACCATAGCGAGGAGAGGTCTTGAACAACTTCGAGATATTCTACGAAGGGGGACATCATCTACTGAAGAAGGTTTAGCCCAAGTGCAGAATTACAGAGATGCTGATCGAGATGCGTCAAGCTCCATAAATTCATCCAAGCAACGAAATCTGGATTTCCGAATGCCAGAACCGATGGCTCCTTTCCCTGGCCTCAATATCAATGACCCATGTTCAAGAGTAGATTGGGAGAATCTCGACTTCGATACTATCGAGGATATCAATTTTGATACTGATTTCTCAGCTAGTGACTTCGAAGCACTTTTTCACGACGGAATGGCATCGCAATGTGTTTAATTCCCAATTCACAATTTTACCTTGGAATGTCATCGAGCGATGCACATCTTGACAAAAATTCTCCCGAAGATGATATTCCCCTGTTTTACACTTCAATCATTTATTAAGTTTCCATATGACAACTATGTCATAATCAAAACTTCAAATTTACGAGGCATTAAACGCGCCATCCCTCGATTCCACTTAAATCACGTGTCATGTGTCAAGTTGGCGCCTCAGCCACGGTCAGATCAGATCCTACCCGGACAACGGAAATCCATCAAAAGTGACGTAATAATTTGCAATTCTTTCAATTCATTCGCCGATTCTTGGTACGCTGAGGAGCGAATCTGGCCATGACATAGCCTGAATTAGTGTTGGTTGGCACAGTTGTGACCTCCAACAGATAGAATTTGAAACACGCGAGGATTTCTCAGGGAAGCGCCAACCTACACAGCCAAATTTGAGCCTCATAATAATTACTGTAGGCGTTTTGATGTTGGGTACTCGGTCAAGGTGAATCGTGATCCTCCAACAAATGCCAACATCTGAGTCTGGAATCGTTATATAATTCTGTCCTAGCTATGTCCATCATCGCCACTCTTTTTTCACAAACACACTTACATTAGCAGCTTCGTTTAGCCATTCATTCTTTTATAGTCTTTCATTAAACCTTTCGTCTTATATATCCATCCAACTTAACCGATAAAATGCCTTCCTTTGCCGAAAACCCCTCGTCCGTAACCGTTCAAACCGCTTTTCAACTCCAGCACTTAGTTGAAGCTGGTCACAAAAACGCAGTTTGCATTGACCCAAGCACACTGAAGATTATAAAATCCATCACCAGTTCTCAGCCTGGAAAGGATGCGACCTCACTCCGAACACCCGAGTGGGCTAATAGCAAAGAAGGCTTTCAAAAAAAGCTATCCTCGTTCTTAGACGGAATTGCAAACAATCTGGATGTCAAAGATCTTGATCTCTCAGATGATTTGGATGATAGTGAGGAAGATTCTGATTGGCGAGAAGGTAGCGAAGGGAGCGAAGTAGAAGAGGAATACGATTCTGAGTATGATAGCGACGAATACACAGAGTCAGAGGACGATCGCAATACTTTGGATCGAATTAGCGAGGACGAAGACGAGGATGAAGATGCTGAGCCAAAGAAATGCTTGGATGCAAAGCTTGGTGAAGGTATGGCAATTCCACTTCCTAATTTTACACTTGCGTAGAACTCGATGGCTAACCTAGATAGGTATCATTCTTCATGAAATCGTCGGCCGAAAAGTAGCTCGCTACGGAAACAAGGTTCTCAAATCAGGACGCAATCTTCAACTCTCCGAAGCAGACGCTATGCGCTACATCGCAACACATACCAGCATTCCAGTTCCTCGTGTCATAGAAGCCACTACCGATGGAAAACTCACTAGCATCACTATGGAATACATCGAAGGCGAACGCCTGGACAAAGTCTGGAACTCTCTTCCAGAAGATCAAAAGAAAAGCATCGCAAGTCAGATCAATGATATGCTGTTTCAACTCCGCGGCTTGACGGGCCGATACATCGGCGGTATGAATCGTTCCCCAGCTATTGATTCTCGACGCTATGACCTCGAAGGTGGCCCCTTTAAGTCTGAAGCTGAATTCAATAAATTCCTCATTTCGGATGCCTATGCCCAAGTGCCCAAATGTTTTCTGAAGATGGCAGAACATTCTCTTCTTACTAATCATGCCATTAACTTTGCACATGGAGAATTGGCGCCAAGGAATATTCTTGTGAAGGAGGGACGGGTCGTGGCGGTATTAGATTGGGAGAATGCCGGCTGGTATCCTGAGTATTGGGATTTTGTGAAGAGCTTCAATGCAATGGATAGTAGATGTGGAGAGTGGTATGATTGGGTTGAGAGAGTATTCCCTGTGGGATATGAGCAGGAGTTTATGAATGATCGGTTCGTGGGAACGTTGGTCAGACATGGACATTCTTAGGTGGATGGAAAAGTGCCAAGGCTTTTCTCTAGTACGCTTTCTTTTGATGATATTGGAGTTGTCTTTGATGCATAAAACATTGTTGTAAGAAGATAGAAGCTGAAAGAGGTTGGCGTTTTGGTGCAGTGGCATTTGTAGTATTTGACCAAAGTATTCATTTCGCAGTCCAATCGATAACTTTTACAATCCGATTATTATGCTTCCACGTCATTTGATCTAGAAAAATGTTTGCGTTGCTATCAATTGCGTATCTATAGCAACACCATTTGAACACCGGAATTATTTCAATTTAATCTGCAATTCGGACACCATGATATTTCTGCCACTCCTGATACCGTAGCCCAGGACATGAACAGGACCCTTGAAGAACATCGATGCCATACGCCTCCTTCTAAAGCTTTCTTTTCTCCTTCTGCTCTTTCATTCTGCCCTCCTCGGCCCCAACCCTCACACAAAAAATGTCCTTCCACCCTCTCATCGCCATCAACCTCAACACACCAGCCAATTTCTCCTTATCCATTCCACTAATGCTCATTTCCGCCACTCCTTCATCTTTACCAGACACACTCCCCACATTCCCAATATTCACTCCCTGCCAAACAACCGTGATATCAAACTTTAATTTTCCCATCTCCTCCTCCTTTTCCCCTTTCATATCCCCAGCCTCAACCACATCCTCAGCATTATTCTCACCCTTCTCCCCACTACCCCGTCTCCGCATTGCGAGCCGACAAGATTCTCTTAATGCATCCCTAACCTCGCACTCCAGATCTTGATATGAGAACTTGGGAGATAGAGGTAGGGCGGCGTAGTAGGATGTCGCATTCGAGATACTTTTTCCTTTGGGAAATGAGAAATATGCCAGGGCGGTGGTCGTGGCAACTGGAAGTTGTGGATACAAAGAGTAGACTTTGAAGGTTCTGGTGAAGGCGTGGTTAGAGACACGGGTAGAAGAGAAGATTGCTGGATGATGTCTTTTGAGAGTTAAGGTGCGTGAGGAATTAGTGGGGATAATGGGAGTGTGGGGAGATGGTTGGCTTTTAATGGTGAAGGCTCGTTTGAAAATCTGTGTGGATGGTGTTAGAGTCGTAAATGGTTGTTTCATAATTGGCCGGAACATTTTGGAAGATTGTATTTTGGTGGATGTAATGAGCTTTGACAAAGTTCTACGGAATTTGAGAAGGATATGAATTACATGACATCACACATGGCCAACAGAGCTCCAGGATCATATATGTAGATTTTGCTTCAAATGAAAATCAATCGATAAAGAAAGTCCCAAATGCATCCTTACATTAAAGAGCAGCATTGCTATTGATGAAGACAACATTAATGCCTGCTTACAATGATACAGTTTCAAAGGGGGGGGGCACATAGACAAGCGAGGGTAAAAGTTAAATATGATAGAAAAATTTGTAACTGAAAGAATTGTTAAAGAAATAGCTATTAACATGAATGGAGGTTGATTTGTTTGCTGTCGAATGATGACCTATTTGGCTATCCATTATCCATTGAGATCATCATACAGATTTCTTAGCCTTGTGAACCCGTCTTTGTATGAAAGACATCAGATTAGTTTGAATCAAAGGTCTTCCTCAAGAAACCTTCAGACGATTTTAGTCAAGGGGGTCATAGAATAGCACAAACTGCCACATTTTACTTCTACACAATGGTCATCTCATTATTGAAACATCGATTTACATGTTGGCAGGCTATATATTTATCTCGTCATACTACCAGTTAGCAGCTCATCAATGATTAAAACAGCCCAAGAAACCGCAAAGCCCAATAATTAGTCTCCATCACCCCAAATACTCACAACCAACATTTACTCGATTATACCATGACAAAATGAACTACCCCGACAACTCCAATACTATTCCCGAAACAGTCGTGCTGGTCCATTTCCGTCTTGTCGAAAGATCTGCCCCTCTGGCTCGAAACCCCACCCCATTTTACTCCCAGCAGAATAGCTCCACGGCAATATTCGTCCTCCCCGGAAAAGCGACACTCGTTGATTTTACTGCTGCCGCAGTTTCCATGATTGATAATGATGAACATGGGATTGCGACACGGGCTAGAAGTCCGAAGAACGGGTTTTCATTTTCTACAGATCTGAGCGATCTATTTGTGCAGTGGGCGGATGTTCATGATCGGCTTCCACCATCATGGATTAGGAATGATGAAGAGTTGGAGGGGGCTTTGAAAATGATGGGGAAGAGGGGATGGGTAGATAACTTGATCTACGAGATAAGCGTAAAGGGGACTGAGTAGGCACTCGAAGACTCGTAGTGCAAGAGGGTGACAGGTCGGGGAAGAAAAAAGGGTATTTTGATCATAGATCAAGGTATCGAAATGAAGAATTACAAGGTCCATTTTGTGCACCGAGGAACAGATATGCAAATCAACTTTCATTCAATAACCATCACTGCGAAATATCTCAAAGCTTTGGACATAATTCCAAGCAGCTACCGACCAAAGCACGAAGACGCAACTCAATTGGGCAATCAAAATCAGATCCCCGGAAATCCAAAAACTAGAAATCCCAATCCTTCACCCATCTTCCAATCATTCCGTCATTTATTGGAGCCAAATCTCTAAATGAAGGACTCGCAACTTGCGCATTCTCAGTAATCATGACCAATCTTTCCTCATTAGCTACCCATTCAAAAAATCCCAAAAGTTTAAGCGCTGGGAATTTCTCTAGATCATCCCTTGACGTAGCGTCATGTTTCTTAAGCTCAATGAGCCAATTCCGCAATGAGACTTCTTTGGTCACACCGAGTATTTGCTTGACCCCAAGAACAAGGTCACTCCACTTGACGAACTTCGGATTGATGAGATTGAAAGTTGTCAGACCTTCTCTTGTATCACTTCCATGCATCAGCTCAACGATAATTTGTGATACATTATCAGCCGGAATCCATTGAATAAGATCTTGAGCCCCAAGGTCACTTGGCACCAATCCCAGTGCTTTGGAAGTTTGCAGTAAAATTGGGAACCAATCCCGAGCATTCCACTGCTTCTTTCCATCACCAGACGGGCCACCAATTTGTCCACATCTCAACACATCAACCGAGATACCGTGTATTTCTGGAGCATTGTTTAGGATATTCTCTGCTATGAACTTGAATTGCCCATAGCCTAACATTGGCAAGTTGCTATCAGTGAATATGTGTTCCGATACTGGTGTCTTGGGCCGGAAGGATGGCCAACTCGCCAATGAGCCGAGCGAACTCATGAATTGGATTGTCACTTTGCGTGGAGACAATAAAGACCAGTCGATAAAATTGCGAACGCCGGCAACGTGAACTTTTTCGAAAGACTCGATGGGTAGATTGAAGTCGACTGACCAAGCATTGTGTAGGATCACATCAATAGTTTCAAGAAAGTTTTGATAAATGGCAGGCTCTAGACCAAATCTTGGCTCACCAAAGGATGTTTTGACGAATTGAACCTTTTGAGCTCCGTCCAAGTCACCGAATTCGGCAATAAAGTCTTTTTCGGCTTCGGAGCGATCAAAGCATACTATTCTAGCGACTTTAGAATCTGCGATTAAAGCTTTGAGAAAATAGTATCCCAAGTAGCCAGTGGATCCAGTAAGGATTACTTGAAAACCATCGCCATGAGACTTGATGATGGTTATTGCTTTTTTGACTGGAAAATTGCTGGAATAAGTCTGGATGAGGTCTTCCAAGTTGTTGTTTGCTGGTAGAAGAGTCTGAGATATTTGCTCTACGCGATCGAGCTTCTTTGAGACGTCTTTAGGTTGGCATTCCATGTTTAAAATTGCTATGCAAAGTCTTTTTGTTGTGGAATTATCGTAGATAAATCTGATTGTGAGATTTGAGAGTTGTCCTTGGGAACAAGCAGCAGGGAACTTTATTGAATAGTACTAGAAATTTATCTAGGCCGAGGTAGGATAAGCTGTCATCTGCAGGTAATGTTTGGTTGATTCCAACTGTTATGGTTCTGGGTGAATCGAAAACTTGTATCATACGACCAACAATTTGTAAATTCGCAAAAGGGTTCGAGTGGCATTCTTGTCAATGAAGTTTCTCAAGAATTCTACTCAAAGTATGTAACAATTCTCATATCTTTCAATAATATCCTCGAGAGATTTAACAATCAGACCTCTCACATCAAGGTTGAATACCATTCAGCCCCGGGTCGCTTATTCCTTGCTGCACTGCTTCAATCGGTTCATCAAATTGTTCCAACCTGGCTTCAGAAGAAAGCAAATGGGCAGAAATTACAGAAAGAAGACAATTACGACTGATGGTCGTCTCTAAAGTGGAAAGCAGATCCAAGAATTTTCGATAGAAGTGGTCCGCAAGATCATCAGTGGTTGACAGAATTCAGACCATCACTTGATCTCTGGTTCTCTTCCCAGCAATCGATGCGAGTTGGCGCAATGTCCTCATAGCTTCAAGAACAGAATAGAAATGGTTACAGTGTATGCTTAATTGACTTCGGCAGTTCTGTGGTTCCAGGTATAACGATGGACTAACTATGCTTTGCTATTTGGCAGCTTGCTCCAATAAAAGAGAGCACTGAATTTAACTCCGTTGGCTGGATCGACAACCTTCTTTTTGGAGTTCCCAATCGATGGAAGTAGAATCTACAATTCTCACTCTCAATGTTTACATTCAATCATGAAAGATCATAATGACTTAGAATTTATCGCTTTTTGGTGACAGCAAGTTAGAAATTGAGGTATGTGAAGTCGTTTATTCTCGAGGCTTTCCCAAAAGAGCTCTACACGCCTTATACTGGTGGAAATGCCGTAAACGCCATTGTGGTTATGCCAGTAATTGCTCGGCTCACCCTCTCCAACCACCACCAAAAGACGAAGTTCACCACAACAGAATATCAGTATCGGTGAATCCGAACAAGCCACGCGAAGGATTCGATGATCTTGCGATCAAACCCAGGAATTTCGTTGATAGATTATAAAGTGCTACCAAACTGTCGATACACAGAAAATAAGAAGTATTCACTTGAAACACCTCAAAAAATGAATGACGAATTGCACGTACACAGCAATGTACAGATGCAGGAACCTGAATGCATCATAATTGAAAAGAAAAAACAGGACGACCACACATTTTGATTACCGTGAGGCCTGGGATAGGAGAGCTTTATGGAACACTCGAAGTGAAGGAGAAGTTTCACCGTCGGTGCATATGCGACACCAGGATTACCAACCGTGGATTGAGTTGTGAGGTGAACCATAAGAGGTTTGGATGACGATGGTCCCGGACATCGGCATCACCACATCAACGAGGCGCTTAGTCATCAACGTCTTTCACGGAGCTGCTGATTCCAAGTCAAACAAAGTACAGATAGGTAATAATGGTATGCCCTAACAAGTAGACAGCTTGAGATAAACAAACAGCCATACGCAAGTAAACTCGATGTTTTCAAACAGATGCCAGCACGGCAGTTATTTACGCAGCTTTTAAAGCTCGTCTTAAAATCAAATGAGCTTTGCATTTCAAGACTGTTGTTATTGAAGTATTACCCATTCGCGAAACCTCGCATTCCGCCGTGACGACCTGTCTCCCCATGTATAGGATTCATAGAAATGATGTATCTTTGGGCAGGGTTCTTCGTGAATCGTGATTAGAATATAATGTACACTGTGGGTTCTGCTGTTACCGCGTATCGGTGGATACAATCGAGAAGTAGCGATGTGATTCCCAATGCCCCGACACGTCGAACCAGATGGTAGCTACTTGGGAGGACGGTTAGTTTCAAAGTTTTGTCGACTTGGTCATTAGAGGTTCTTACGGCTATTGGAGAAGTGGGTTTATTTCCAAGTTTTCGTCAAAATTGAATGTATTAGGTAGTTCACTGATTCCAATCTTTAGTCAATGTGTGATTCCACAACGGACTATATGACATGGCGACGAGTTCGTCAAGGTCTTTATCCTGCGATACAAGACATGAATGATCGCTTTGAATAGACAAGGCTTATGACAGTATCTAGTTGTTTTTGGTTGGAACATTTTGGTGTAAACTATCTCGCCTATGATTGAAGTGCTATTGTATGTGTTGGCTACTGACTTCCATGTCTCTTCTTAGATGGTAGGCTATTATCTTTGGATCTGCCATTATTTTCTACTTTACCATCTCTTGACTTATCCATAGCCATTGCCCGTTTATTCCCAGCCTCATCCATTGTAGCTGAGCCATGCCTCTTCTTTGGTAATACACTATCGTCCTTGAATCCCTTATTGGTTTCTGCCGTACCATTTCTTGATCTCTCTATAGCCACTGTCTTTTTGTCTCCGACTTCATCTATCGCGGCTGAGCCATGCCGCTTGTTAGGTAGTGCATTATCTTCAATGAGATTACCATCATCTTTTACCTTGCTGCCAGCTCTAGGTTCCTCGACAAGAATTTGTTCCTTTTCAGTTCCATTCGTAGGCGCTCGATGTGTTTTCTTGAGTCTCCCATTGACTTCTGGGTTACCAACTCTCGGCCTGTCGCCGGGAACCAACTTTTGCTTTGCCATCTCATCTCCTAGCTCTTGACGTCCCCCTTTGGATTTCGCAACATCGTTAGGTCTCTCATCAATTTCTTTTCTGCCATTATATTTTAAATTCTCAGCAATGGCCGTCCTTGCCTTCGCGACCTCATTTCCTAGCACTCGACGTCCTTCTTTGGTTCGTTCATCGATTCCCGTCCTAGTATTACCTTTTGGTTTTTCAAAAACAATCTGTTCCCTTCCGACCCCACGTATCGGTGCTTGCTGTGTATTTTTGATTTTCTCATCGACCTTTGTGTCATGGATTCTTGACCTATTTTTACAAGTCATTCTTTCCTTTTCGAGCTCATCTTCTAGCACTGGGCGTTCCTCATGAGCTCTCCCACCAAGCTTTTCTCTGCTGCTTCTTCGCGTCTCAGTAGTAATCATCCCTTCAACTTCGAATTTAAATATAGGTCCTTGATGACCGTCTCTTTGCCTATCGTCACTCGTTCTTTTCACTGCATTTATTGAAAGTCTGTGACCCTCTTGATGTTTTCCTTCTACCTTGCCCCCAGGCTTCGACTTCTCCAGGGCTTTCTTCTTCTTCTCGACGTCTCTGCGTAGTGCCGCTTGGTCTTTTTCTGAGCACAAAGCCTCATTGTCGATCTTGAGCCATTCACTGGGAAGATCTTCAATTGTCCAGTACTGGGCATGCTTGTTCTTTGACATCAATAATCTATCTAACCTCTTCCGATGCTCTGCTTTATTTTCCGGAGTCAGCAAGACACTAAGACTAGGAGCCGGAGCCCCTTTCCTCTTCGAATCCACTCGTGAATCAGCTCGTGGGTCTGATTGGATAGCTTTTATACAATCTCTTGCAAAGTTATTGCAATTGATGAAGGTGCTTGTATCCTTATCCTGAATTTTTAAATACATCTTTCCCGCCGTGTCACTGGTGAATCTCCAACCATTAGTTTCTTCAATTTCTTGAATATCCTTCTTCTTCCGATTTTCAAGTTCCTGTTCCTCAAGAATGCTTTTGGTGACCTTGTCTTTTTTTGGGCCTTTGAGTACGTATACTGGGGGATAGAGTAATAGCTGAGGCGCACTTTTCCCTTCATCGGAATCGTGGCTTTCACTTGGGAAGTCAATTTCCAGCCTTGCGCGAGAAGGTTGTTTTTCAACCTGGGTAGATCGACTCGGAGGAATACTGGCTGGGGACATATTAAAACATGAAGGCAAAAAACGCGTTTTCTTTGTGATGATGATTCTGGAATTGAGGCGATACGAGCGAAAAAGATCGTAAGGCTAGCTACAGAAGATTATTTGTAATGATGCCAACACTATGTTATATGATAAAGCACAGGTTAGCATCTTCATTCAGTCCAGGTCGGAAATTGAGATTGTTCTTAGTTCTGGGAATGGCCGCGAAGATAGATACTCAGGCTGCCCAAGTATACAAATATTTTATGGCCAGTCAAACCAGTGTCTTGGAACTGCGAACGTTTTTGTGGCCAAGAAGTTAAGAAGGCGACCTCGAGAATGCACTGTAAGGCGTGTATCTCACAGATAACCGCGCGCTACCATTTCGAGGAACACTTGCATAGATAGCAGTGGCCAAATGTAATAAATACCATGGCCATTTGCTTGCCCGCGTCAGATCCAGGAAGACGGAGACCCCGCAAAAGTAGAACCTTGGGATATAACACCAAAATTTATGCAAGGATATGCAAGGGGATGCAGTCAAACTTCAGCCCTGGGAGGAATCCGAAGGATACGCTCATGCGTGTACTAGCATCAAACACTTTTAGTTGCAGCATAGTACTTTCTGCCAAGAAAAGCGAAACTAAAAAGTGATGACGCGGAGTGAGGGGAGGCTAAACGTAAGAAAACATGATTAATGTGTTCGTTGACGGTCACAACAGAAAGGACCGTTGTTTCCAATTCCTCCGAAGTATTGGGTGACGGGGTCAAAGGGCAGAGGAAGACAGACCTTCAGACAATGTTAAGCTCATTTGTGTTGGTGTGGCGGCTTAGCAGCGTATACCGTGCTTCTATGATCGTACACATCAGCTATATTATGCCGACAAAAGAAATACGATAAGAATTACCCAATACGGAACATGAAAACGAGCATTGATCAATTTCCGAACGAAAAGTTTCCAAAAATTGAGTCTAGAAATTGACATCCTCTGAGGATCTCGGGATGGACGGAAGGCGAAATTAGATATCACGTGATGTGTCATTATAATCCAACATCATTGGATCGCTACATTGTTTATCAAAGCTTGGAAGGATGTTATTCATCCATCTTCTCCAAATCTCCAAATCTCCCAATCTCCTGTTCTCTTCTCCAAATTGCTCCACTTTCTCCTATCAAAGTTCAAACCCCTCGAATCTCCAAAATAAATCTCCACAGTCAGAACATCTTTGATTCCTGTTCTGGATTTTATGGTTACATCAACCTTGTGCTTATGGGAAGTCACTCTCAGAATCTTACCGTCATCAAATCAAACATGATATACATGAATTACCACACCTGAATCGCTATATATACACACACACACACACATACAATCATCATCCAATCCCATCAGCATCAGTCTGGGTTTCGGTAATGTCTCAGCATAATTCCGTGCACTTGGCGATCCACCGAATTCGTAAACCACCTTTCCTCCCAAGATCTCGGCATCCCCTGATGACTTGGCAGCGGCATAGTTAGAAATGAAAACGTTTCCAAGGTGAGTTTGGATAGGGACAAGATGCTAGTGCAAATCAACTCAGTTGAGGCTATGCTCAGTATGCTGTCTTTGAGCTTGGCATTTGACTATACCCAAAGATAACATAGTGAACGACCGGAAGACATCCCATACCAATTTTCATCTTCATCTGATCTCGTAGGTCTTCTTCTACACACTCAAGCCTTGTATTTGAATACATTCACTCTTTTGCTCCTCTGCTCAGCCGCTGTCATAGAAATCAGTCACTCTTTTATTCTAGATTTCAAACGTCAAACCTTACCATTCCCTCATGTACATGTTCTATTCTCCTGATTTTTTCACATCATGAAGCTCGATTCTTCTTTAATCTACGCGGCAAGCCTCTACGCTTTTGCTGGCCATGGCGTGGAGGGTGCCATTACACTTGATATCACATCTCCAGACTCGATCAAAACCGCAGCAAGTAACATAGCATACGATCTCATGTCGTATTACACTGGAAACAATACAGGAGATGTGGCAGGAAATTTACCAGCGCCATATTATTGGTGGGAGGCGGGCGCTATGTAAGGTTTCCCCTATTTTTTCGATGGCATTGACTGACTTCTCAAAGGTTCGGAACCATGATTAATTATTGGTACTACACGAACGATACAACCTACAACGATATTGTTGAACAAGCACTACTACATCAAGCCGGAGAAGATGATGACTTTATGCCTCAAAATCAAACAAAAACAGAAGGAAACGACGATCAAGGATTCTGGGGAATGGCAGCGATGACAGCGGCAGAAACCAAATTTCAAGATCCTCCAGATCCAAGCCCGGGATGGCTAGCACTTGCACAGGGAGTCTTCAACACTCAAATCGCACGATGGGATAATTCGACATGTAATGGTGGATTTCGATGGCAAATTTTTACTTTCAACAACGGTTACAACTATAAGAACAGTATTTCAAACGGATGCGTTTTTAATTTGGCAGCGCGACTCGCTTTATATACCGGAGAAAGCATTTATGCAGATTGGGCGGAGAAAATCTTTGATTGGGTGTACGGAGTAGGCCTCATTTCTCCAGAGTACGATGTATATGATGGAACTCAAAATTCCGACAACTGCACAGATAAAGATCACAATCGTTGGACCTACAATACTGGCATTTACCTGCTTGGAAGTGCTGCCATGTACAATCATGTAAGCTTCATAGTGATTCCAATATATTTCTTGACTTGGATGCTGACATTTTCAGACAAACGGCAGCGCCATCTGGAAAGAGCGTGTCACCGGCCTTCTGAACTCATCAGCAGACTTTTTCCAAAATGGAATTATGGTCGAAGCGTGCGAGAGTGGTACTTGCAATAACGATCAACAATCATTTAAATGTTATTTTGGACGGTGGTTAGCTGCAACCACTAAGATCGCGCCTTTTACTTATGATATCATCATGCCTTTACTATCTACAACCGCAACAGCAGCAGTAAAAACCTGTACGGCTGGAAAACGAGGCAATTCGTGTGGCTTAAAGTGGACCACGGGAGAACACGATGGGATTACTGGCGTAGGAGAACAAATGTCAGCATTAGAAGCCGTCCAAGGTCTATTAATACCCCAAACCAGAGACTGGGTTAGTGAGGTAGCAGGAACCGGTACCAGCGAAGGTGATGCAGATGCAGGATCAGATTCGAGAGTGAGTACTGATGGAAGCGAAATTACACCCGTCACCACCGCCGACAAATTTGGAGCTACGATATTTACCATGTTGATTGTTGCGGGTGTCATTGGTGGAAGCGCATTTTTGTGTGTCGAATGGTTTTGAAATCCGTTGGAGGAAATCTACTACGTTTATTCCTGTATGTGAATATTCCAATACAAAAAACCATTAATCTCGTGGCACCGGCTGGGGTTGGGCATATCATCGGCGTTATGTATCAGGATAATCGGATAAGAGGAAAGGGGTAGCGTTGGGAAGTAAGGCGTTAAAACCACAGGCTTGCATAGACAGCTTTTGCTATGAATCTGGCCGGTCTCTTTTGTTCTTTATTCGATTCGTCTTCAGGACACCCTTTTTTCGAAGCTATCAACCTATTTTACCGCGTCTTCCGGTGTCAATATCTACAGAGGAAACTTGCAGGTGAGCAGGTTTCAGATATACAAAGTGAAATTACTATTACAGGCAGAGAATAGAGTATCAATCACTGGAAACAATGTGTGTTAACGGGTATCAAGAACTGGATTTGGTGTTGAATGGCTTCTGGAGTGCCTCTGATTTCCTCATTATCTCACAAACTACATATCCCAACTAGACTCTAGAATAGAAGAATAAAATATTCAATATCAAGTGTACATTTTTCACGGGGATTGCTATATTTAGAGTTAGCTCTGCGTTTTGTGGTGCAACGCCGAGTTTGGGATTTGGATTGTTTGGTTGTGAATGTTTATGGATATTTTTCGTGTTTGAATTTGTGAGGTTGTGATGGAGTGTCTGGTTGTCGTGGATCTTCCACTCCCTGACTCTTTTAGACTGTCTTATAACTTGTAGATAGACAGGTAGATGGTAGAATAGTTAGATTTTGTACATCCTCCCTCTTCCCTCCTTCGTCACCTCGGTTGCGAGGATAATGGTTTTCGGCGTGGGATTTGGATTGTGTTGTGGGTTGGTTCTCTTTCTGTCTTGGGGATGTCGGGGATGCAGTGTACGACTGCTGAACGGAAGAAGAAAACAATTGGTAAAAGAAAGTGATGGTAAAGCAGATGAGATAAATGGTGCAGAGAGGACTGAGGATTTGTATGTTAAGAAAGGGTAAGATTATTGATACTTCTCTTTTCTCCTGAGAGCTGTGTAGTCTGGGTTTCCTCGGATTGTTTCCCCATATAGGGAAGAGGCCCTGCCCTGTACGCCTGTTCTACCCTGTACTTTAAATTTTCCAAAGTTTAGGTTCATTGGTAACGCAATATCTTGACGAAACATAAAACCACAATTGAAAAGACAGGCCTGCTATCTTTACACCTACTTTTCACATTTATTCTGTACATAGCGATAATGTAAAATAGAGGGTCGCTATATTCTTCCTTCCAGAATGTTCAGCCAAGCAGATGAAGATGGCTCATGCTCCCAAGCTTGTCCACAGCTTTCAGTTGCAAAACCTTCTTTCGCACGACCCTTCATCGATCCATATATTCCAGTATATTGATTGACTGTGCGACGTTGTATGACTCGATTTAGGTTCCATTGTCAGCCCACCACAAACTCGTTACCGTTCGCTGGTGTATGGTGGCAGGCGGGTAGTGTATTAAACTTTCGAGTATCCGGCCAGGGTAGTGTAATCGATTCGAACGACGTTGAGACAATTTAATCAAACCGGTGTGTAACGAACGGCAACTCTTGCCACGGTGGAGGGACAGTAAAGGAGTCCTTCTCTTCGCACCATAGACCATCTGTGTTCTTCATACTTGAGTGACCTTAGGTATCTGTGTGAAAGACTCAGTCCCAAGCACCTTGATCAGCTGAGAGACTGGTATATGAGAAGACACTATGATTGTTCGTTTGCTATTCTCGAAAGCTTCGAAATCTTCGTCGTCGTGGAGGCATCGTGGAGGGGTAAAATGATATTGAATCTGTCTGGTAGAGGTAGCTGGGTGGATTTGAATGTCTACTACGTACGAACTACATACATACGAAATAGCCGTTGGAAATCCAAGAAGGATTTTTTCCATCCGATCTCAATCCCTGTGAAGGAACCCACGGGATGGTCCGAATGGTGTGCTAATGGATCATAGTAATATGATACTATCGTAGGACCAATTCACACTACTGCACCTCCGCTGCAGTCCTGTGCACATGTTCCTGCAAAAATTGCATTATCGAATGCCACAATGAGTTAGAACTACCTTCCAAGACTCCATTATGGAGAAAAGACGGTCACGTCGATTGCTACTCTCATGATGGTCGGTGAAGGATATGAAGCCCGATGGAGGTAAGACTGACATTCCAGATTCTCTCAATTCCCCATTCATGAAATTCTCTGTGAATAATTAATTCAAGAGAGGAATAGTCTTGTCACCACGTCAGAATTGTTCGCATTCACAACCTAGATACTGCATATCCTACACAAGCTACCCAATAAAATGAGGGGTATCAACACAAATTCATCGCTTGCGTACAGGGGCTTTACTTTATATGGTCGGGGTCTTCATTAGACTGATCAGATACTGCATCGATTGCATCTTGCATGATCAGTTAGTTGAACTCCAATTTTTTGGAAAGAAGTTATTCTGAACTTGTTTTACATTATTCTCTAGAATTCGTATTCATATCTATATTCACATTATTGTACAAAGCTCGGAGTCATCGTATCATCATCGTATCTACATCATTGATCGAAACTCGTACATGCTAAAGAACGATATCAGTATCAACATCAACATCATTCAGATATATATACAACTTTGAGGGATTTCATCTGCCCAAAATATGATTGATTTGAATGATTTAGTGGATGAAAGAGCCTTCGGTCACGATGTCGAATCTTTACGAGCAGCAAATGAATACCTCGAACGATTACTCTTTGCGACAGCCAGGAAACATAATCAGGTATGGGAAGAGTTAGAATCAATGAAAGAATCGTCTGGTATTTACGACAAATCATTACCATTCCTCTCATTTCCTCGGGAAGTCCGCGATCAAATTTATAAACACGCTCTTCAAGCAACTCGCGAAGCCTTCGTTGGAGTTCGACATATTAGAATGCTATCCTGCGACACGTTTCCGGACTCAACACATTATCCATTCAAACCACCTACGCCTGGTTTACTTCTAGTCAACAAACAAATATACGAAGAAGCGGTGCAAGTCTTATACTCATGCAACAATTTCTCCTTCCATAGACCGAGAGAGCTTTTCGATTTCCAAAACCAAGTCGGAGTGTACAATTGTGGGCTGGTACGACAAATGAAGATATCCGTTGTGTTCGAAGACGAATCTATGTTTACGCCCGCGGAATATGTGGCACCATGTAATTACGAAAATATCCCTTCGCACTGGGCGAAAGCGTTGTTGGAATCGAGACTGATGAGTAATATTGCTGGGATGCAAATTGATGCCAGTTCTGGATTACATGATTTGATGACAATGCCCCCATCATTATACCGCGCAATCATCGCCACATTTTCGCGGAACCGAAGCTTGAAAACGTCACCGGAATTGATTTTGAAAGGATTCCAGACTCAAGAGGTGGATAAATTTCCTAAACATTGGAAAAAGTCGACAGAGCAGTGGTTGCAAGTAGAATGGGCATCGAACGAGCAAGAGCTGGATGAATCAGAACCTTTTTGGAATTCTTCGGAGGCCGATCATGCGGAAACGCTTAGTTCATGGGACGAGAGAGAAACATCTGATAATGAGGACAGGGAATCGTTTGACGAAGGTTCATCTTATCTTGGAGGAGGAGGCTCGAGCACTGGAAAAGGAAACGTACCGACTTTATTCAACGAACTCGGAGAGTTGATGGGATCGGACTATACGGATTCAGACACGGATTCAGATGTAGGCTCGGAAGATTCGTTCTATACGGCGGCACCGTGGAATGATGTCAAGGAAGTGTTATTGCAGTTTCGAAGTTTTCAGGAAGCTGGTCAAAGACAACAAGGAGGTCTTTTGAGCATTTGATAAAGTTTCAAGTGGTGAAGAGGAGGGGGCAGAGAACATTCTCGATGCCGATACTGAAAAATTGGGAATATTTGACATGGTGTAGCGTCTTTCTTGCTTGCTTACTAGGGGTTTTGGATTTTTTGGCGCACCGGAAGGGAAGGTCTTCGTATTGCTTCAGACAAACAAAGAAACTCAGGATTCAGGGTGGGAAGATGTTCTAGGGGTTGGCAAGGAATGGTTGTAGTCAACATTACCAAAGCTCGGTTCAACATAGTGATTTTAAGGGAGTTTTTGGTATTGATATCCATATTCATATTCACATTCTTCGGAAATTACATAAAAAAATTCATTACAATATAAACATAGTATTTTCAAATGTTCGTTTAAGGTTCATTAGACTATATACATGTCCATTCATTATTCGCATGGCTTCATTCTCTCAATCTACACGTTGTCATTAATACCCATTACTCGTCCAGACTCGTCAAGAGCCACACTAGTCTTTTTTGTGCTCTCCTTTCGTGGATTGGGAGCATCGAAAATTGAAGCCATTTCCTCTAAGGTCTTTCCAGCTGTCTCGACAAAGAAGAAGTAGATGATAGCTAATTCGACGCAAATCCACGCAATATACACCACGTATAATTTCCATCCAATGGCAGCGATACCGACACTGATACCATAGGTATTCACCACCATGGCAATATTCAAGAAAAGGAAATTCAATCCAGACCCCTTGGCACGAGTGCGGTTTTCCAAACACTCTACAGCGTATAGGGTTTGCAGTGGTGTGAAACCCCAAGCGAAGATGACTCCGAAGACGAAAATCGATACGATGACGCCGTAGGAGAGGTTAGGGTGGTCTTCTGATGCCGCTGTGAATGCAGTGAGCATGATGTAGGAGAGCAATGCTCCGGTAAGTCCAGCTAACATCATTGTGCGGCGACCAAGTTTATCGAGAAGAGTAGCGCCGTAAACCGCTCCCATCATGGAGAAAATGGGATTGATGGCGTTGATGAGGAGTTGTTTGTTGGTACTTGTGATACCCGCGTTCTTGATCATTTCAGGCTTTCATTGGTGTTAGTGATGAGTTAAAAGTTGATACGAAGAAGGAATCATACCATGAAATAAGAGACGACGTTATTTCCAGACCATTGGCCAATAAACGACATTCCGATAACCATGTACAAACGATATCTTGCACCACGGGTATTGACCAATTCGCGGAAATCCCACCAGGGATTGTCGTTTCTGGTCATTTGCAATTGTTCGATAATCTCATGATATTGCAGTTGAACAATCGGCGACTGTTCATCGCCATCTCCGTGATACTTGGCAAAGACTGCGAGGGCCTCCTCTCTGCGATCATGTGCAATGAGCCAACGAGGCGATTCTGGGAAAACAAGATCAACACCATCACGATCGCGGGAATGCCTGCTTGTACCAATGTTGGTACTCTCCAGGCCCACGAATCTGTCAAATTCTTGTTCGATCCGTAAGTTGTCCATCCAGCCAATATATTACCCAACCACCAGAAATTATTATACATTCCCGCCATGGTTCCCCGATAAGCAGGATGCGCCAACTCGACTGTGTAAGCTGGGCCCGCGGCAGACGCAAGCGCGGCGCCGAAACCGAGGACGAATCGTCCGCCGATGAATTGGCCTCGTGCGTGTGCGGAGGCCTGAATAGCGGTTCCGATGAGGACAATAAGGCACCCTATGAATATACACATGCGACGACCGTAGCCGTCGGCGAGAAGTCCACAGAAGGGGAAGGCGGCAATTTGTCCCATGTTGTAGATGATGAATATGACGCCTGTGGAGGAACCGGCGCCGCTGAGGCCGAAGGTTTCTTGGTAGGGAATCATGGCGTTTATACTGCCCATGAGAGAGGAATCTGTGGGATTTGTTAGGAACGAGTGGGAATTTGATATATTGTCTTAATTTCATAGACATATTGAGAATTGAACAAAGTATATACATACCAAAGCCATTCATAGTGGAAACTAAATAGCCAATTGCCATGATTGCATACAACTGTATCATATTTCGACTCAATAGACGAGGCTTCTGCGCGGCGACGGCGGCGGCCAAGGCGACAGATGCGGTTTGGATCTGGGTTACTTGCCCATGGGCTTCTTTGGCATCGATATCCATTGCGCTGGGAATCTCCTGGAGGGGCGGGTGCTCGCCGGCGCCCGTTTCCAGGTGCTCTGCTTCGTATTTGGACATGGTGAAAGAGGCGAGAGAGGATTGTCCTCTGGATGCTGAGAAGGGTGAAGACAGAATAAGACAAAGGGGACGGATATAGAGAAAGAGATAGAATACTAGAAGCAATAGATACAACGGCGACAGGAAGCGCAGATCACCTTCCTCTTTATACTATTTGCATGCATTGTTTTGCGGGGTTAGTGTTACATTGTACATGTATTCTAGATGCTCTTTTTCATGAAATGTGTGGAGTCCCCGCACACATGCACCCCCATTTTTACCCCAGGCACTGGTGAGATATCAAGGTTTTCTTTCGAGAGACATTACGGGGGAACTGCTTGTACATTTGTTTACTTGCATGCTCGTTTGCCTTGGCTCCTTCCAGAAATCAGGAACTTTCCTGCCATAAAATTGACTTCCTGTCAGAGAAGAAAGATGCTGTTGATTCACCTGACTCGATTAGTATATTCCGGCCGTCACCCCCGAGCCTAGTCTTTTTTGCTCTTGGCTGCTGCGATGTCAAGCGGATTGTGGAGTGTGGAGGACTGGGGAAATATAGCGAGTTTGTACCGAGGCTGAGGGGAAGATCCTTGTATGTACGTTGTGCTTGGACCGAGCATGGTAAGCTGAGAACTTGAGAAGATTCACAAGACTGATGGAATTCGCTGGAGACTTGGGCTAGGTTAATGTTCGGGTATCTTTTGGAGATAGAATTTCAGTAGAGATCGAACCCCCGTTATTGGGAAGAAGATTTAAGCGTTGATGGTCAGTTTGTGGAACATGACAGAGACGCGCGAGATTGCAGCGTGATGTGACATCTCCATGACAGATCCTGCATCCCTATCGATTCTCGAGTAACATGTGACGAACATTTAATGAGATGCGCATAATTTGAATGAGTATGGTCATTGCTCCTTCAGTGACCTGGCTCTCGGTTCCAGGGAGTTGGATCGATAATAACCCAACAGCAATCCATTCAACTGCCCAGAAAGATCTGAAAAGATGACATTGATAGTCTTCCTATCCAATGAGCACCAGGATCCTAATCGGTGTAAGCAGTAGGCCATCGACTGCCACTGCCTCGGCTCAGTATGCTGAATCGTTATGATTGTATGTAGGATAAGGTTCATGCATCGAGCACGGACAGATTCCTGGTCTTGGAGTAGCTTCTTGGAAATACTTAAGAAATCCAACAGGATGAATAAGTAAACTACTCCATTCAGGTTGACCAAGAGCTTGGCAACCATTACCGCGATACGAAACCGGATTGAAGAGTGGAATGTTGAACGTTGACATCGGGTCGTGATATCAGGTAGCGAAACTAAAGTTGTTGGATTCTCGCTTCGGCTGATGAAGGGGCTCGATCAAAGCCGATTTTGGGAAATCACCACGGAATACTCCGTGGCCACCTACTCAAGTGCTTCCATCGGGGATCTGAAAATCTAGGTATATAGTGCCATCGAACCCTCTGAAGTTAATGAGATATTAGATGGCTTTTCACTAGTTCTCAGAAAGGCATGTACGAATGGTTGTACTCGCATCAATTTCGGAAGAAAGAGCATACCATTACTAGCTCTCAATTATTAGATGGCAAATTATTTTACTCGGAGTGATGTATGTAAATTGACAATGAAGCGCAACAAAGTCCGCTTGAGATAATTTGACAGCAGGAAGGGCGATATAATCCATCTCATATTAAACAGAATTGGATATTTGTATTGGTACTACATAGCTCCTGAATTTGGCCAATAAAACACCACGGAAATTACAAAATCCGAACTTTCAAAATATCGTGAAAAATCTTCGTTGGTGGTTATCGTCGTATTCACGTGATCATCCTTATTAACCTTAATCGAAGAATCTTTGTTCTTGCCAAGTATTGTTTTACATCCGTGACCTACATCTCCAAGACATCGAATTGAAGACATCTGCAACAATTGCCCCGAACACGTACCCCTTACTCCGCTTCCCGATAATTCCCGATCGAGTCCCTTCCGAATGCCCTATCACGGGATTAAGACGATCACGTGTAGATAAGGATGGCCGCAGATCATGGATTGACAAATAATGACCTTGAATTCAATTCTCCAGATCGCTTTACTCAGGCAGGAACCGAGAGGAAGAGAGCGAGAAAGGCTTGTCGGATTTGTCATTCGCATAAGGCAAGATGCAGTGGTACAACGCCGAATTGTAGGAGGTGTGAACAGAGAGGATACATATGTGAATATGAATCTACAAGTAGAGGGGCGAGGAGGAGTGTACCCAGACATCCACCAACTGGAACAAGCCAAAATGGCGATAGTCCTGGAGCTGTGGTAAATACTGTCTCTGCTGGAGGAAGCCCAATGGAAGTTGGGGATGGAACAGATGGCTTAGTGTGAGATCCTGAAGCGGGGGCGAAATACCGAAGAAAACTTGCTAACATTTCTCCTCAGCGAACTTGGAATCTCAAAGGCTACTACAAAGCGGTACATAGATGCGTACTTTGAATTTGTCTCTTCGACGCCTGGCAAAGGTTTCATTCATCGAGCTACATTCCTAAGGAATTGGAACAATGGTGCTGTAAATCCAGCTTTAGTTAAAGCTATGTGCGCCTCATCAATAGCATTCGTCTCCAAAGATGACGAAAGTCGTGCTGCAGCTCAGAAATGGATGAATGAAGCGGAAAATTACGTTTGGCAAAGTTTAAGCAGACCTTCTGCTGTATTGGTGGAAGTTCTTCTTGTGATTGTCTTTTATCGATTTGAACATCGAGAATATTTCAAATCACAAGCACTGACGGCTGTAGCAGCAAAAATGGCATTCGTATTGGGGCTGAATTATGAAAATAATGGCCTGTCAACATTGGTGAGGGAATGCAGGAGGAGACTGATGTGGTCAATTTTCCATGTTGATAGACTTTCTGCTGGAGGATTTCCGGAATTACTGGTCTGTCCTTCGCATTCGATGCATATTCAATTACCTTGTAGTGAAAAAGATTTCGATCTTGGTATACCGGGAGAGACTGCCCCTTTGATATCGACTAGAACGAATGAGTCTGAATCTATGCACTTGGGTTTGAGGTCATTCTATTTTCGAATATCTGACATAAGGCATCGCATCCTAGAGTATGTTTGGTTCGATACATCACATTGATTGAAATCTCGAGCTGATAATAGCTGTTAGGTACACGAGGAATGTGATACGGGACAAATCAAATCCATACGATTCGCGAGACATGTTACAGAAATTGGAGGCTGAATTGGAGCAACTTCGTTCTTCACTGCCGGCAAACCTTCAATATAACGAAGACAATCTCTTCCTCCGAGCATACTCACCACAACTAACAAGATTTGTTATGTTTCATGTTTTATGGCAACAATGTCATACTGACCTTTACCGATTCATGTTTCCAGGAACTAAAGACTCGATATCTGATACAATACTGGGAAATACCCCTCAGGAATATGTGCAGTATTGTCAAAGGAAAGCGTTCGAACATGCTGTTATAATATTGGACATTTGTCACACTGTACAAAGTATTGGGCATACATTGATTAGTGATACAGGAATTGCAACATGTGTATATCAATGCAGTAATATAATCATAAGGACGGCAGATATTGTGGGATTTTCGAGCGAAGAGGAGAGGTCTAGGATAATGGCGAGGCTGGAGAAAGTTACCGATATTTTAGAGGGGTTGAGGGAGGTCAATCCTCATGTCGATGATGTTGTAAGTATTTGATTTTTCTTCATTCCACTCTTGTAATCATAGGCTTGCATGCATTTACCGACATCGCATCATTTATAGTATCGCAGCGTCAAAGAAATTCTTCACCTCTTCACCACTTCTCAAACTCGCCGCCTCTTCACCACGCCTTCCCTTGGAGTCTCGACCCCCTCTCTCTTCACCTCTGGCGTAACACCGGGTCCTCTCTCTCTGGACCACGTCAACTACACAAACGGTGACAGTACACCACCAAATCACAATTCTCTCAATCTCAACACGACAGGCGTCCTCTCGCCAACGACTGAAAGTGCTACAACGTTGGGTCTGCTAGAGATCGGAAATGGAAATGATCACTATGCAGATTGGAATTCTGGAAACGCAGATGATGGTGGCCAATGGATTAATGGAATAGACTTTGGACCGGCAGGAGTGGGGAGTGGGATTGGAATGGGCACAGATATGGTTGGAAATGTCGGGGCCATGTTTGATCCATTTTGGGGAATCCATGATACGGGCAGGAATGGAAGCGGAACAGATCAAAATGGTAATAGTATGTGATTTGGATAGTCTGTGGTGTGGTCATATGCATGAAAATGTTCTTTTGGATAGTTTGGTGCTGAAAGGTACGTTGCATAAACATTGTCTATCCGTTCTGTATATATTGGGCTCACGAGACTTTGAGCTTGAGATGTTTAATTGGGAGGTTTTGAGATTGCTAGACATTCACTGGTAATCACGGATTCTTTGTAATAATTATGTGGAAACAAATGCGTCCAAAGAAGATGTATTATAGAGATGTGCATTATGGAAGATCTGTCAATCAGAGGAGGGATGCTCATCAATGTCATATTGGAGTTCACAATACATGATACTTAGTTTTTCTGTATGATTCCTACGATTGATTGATTGATTTGGCGACTGAAGGAACCTCGTTCTTGCTATCCTTGTACATCAATAACCATTAAGCATGCCGAAACCCAAAGAACTCCGTAGCCCTTGACGATCCCTGAATCATAACTCCTTTAAACAATTTCACCGGCTTGATTAGCTTTCAGCGACATGTTTCCAACTCTAGCAACCACGACAAGGGCCAATCTATTCCTGCACCCGAGCAATCTCTCGTTCTTTGAACCATTGTATAGTATCCCTCGCAATACTAACGTCAGCTTTTGGATAATGGTCCCTCGGCGGTTTCGCAGCAACGACTCTAAGAACCCGAACAGTCTTCAGTTCTCTAATTCCATTCTCGAGTAAGTGTGAGAAGATCTCGTTGAAATCGACTTGTCGTCTAGCCGGAGTGGGTGCAGCTCCCCAATGGTCAACGTCTACCACTAACGTTAATTCATGCAGTCCGGGACAGAACGTGTTGATGAATGGTATGTAACATTTCATACTCGTGATGAAGTCATCGTCGCACTGAAGCCTGCAATTATTTCTGCTACACTGATGAGCCTTGATCGTTCCTTCGAATTGTAAATTTTTAATGAAAGTTGAGTTACGCATCCGAGCGTGGTAGAGGAAACGAATGAATGGATCGTAGTAGCACCAGCCCGGAATTGATGTGACGATGGCTTTGCCTTGGAGTTGCTGAATGGCTTTGGAGATCGAATCTTTGTCGATTCCACGTTTGCTTGGCTCCGGTCTATATGCCCATTTTCCAATCCATGAAGGGGAACTCTTTTCCGTGGATTCATTTGCCATGCCGAAATGAAATGTGTTGTGACGATATAGCAATATAGAGCCGATATCGTGGAAAACCTTGCAGGTGCGATGGAGTGTTGCATCGA